GGGGGGCTTTTGGCTGGGGGGGGGGGGGGGGGGGGGGGGGGGGGGGGAAGAGGGAGGAAGCTGATTTCTTGAAACTGAAAATTTTCTTGGCAGGAGCTGCCAGCACTGCTGCCCCCAAAAGCAGTGCAGGGAGGAGGCGATCAGAGCCTGGTGCATGGTGCAGGGCGATCGTGGCTGCAGGTAAGCGGGACCCGTCTCTGTCCCAGCCCCAGGCACTTCTCAGCCTCCTGCTGCCCTGAGGCTGTCACCTTCCCTGCCTGTGCTGGGGCAGCTGGGCTTGGCCTTGGGGGCAGGGAGTCAGTGGTGCATTCAGTGCCTCCAGTGTATCCTGTGCCAGAGCCCAGAGCAGCACAGACCCCCCTGCTCAGGCTGCTCCGTGCCTGCCCCCTAGCACTTGTGGGGTCCCTGGCTGGGGACAGGCCCCTGTGTGGGCAGCTGGCTGGCCACTGTCCCTCTGTGCTGGGGCTGAAAAGGTGGGGGAAGATGAGCCTATCCTGACAGCTGTGGGAGTTACCCAGGGAGGGTGGTATGCTTGGGGGTCAGGTTGCAGTGTGCTGTGGCTGAGCTAAGACCCCACACAATCATTGTAGCTGCCCAGGCTCTGTGTCTTGTGCCTGCACCTCTAGGTTAGTCCCACCTGCCCCTGCACTGCCAGGCCCCAACATCCCACTGGATCTGTTCTGCTGGGGAGCCAAGCCAAGGAGTGCTTGTTGCCTGGCTTGCCACTGTGCAAACCTAGGGCATGGGCATCTCCTGGCACCAGCTCAGTCTTCCCTTGTGCATCTGGCTCTGCTGGGAGAGCCTTTAGCATCTTTCTGGCAAGGTGATGCCTTCTGATTCCCTCCCTCTTGCACACCCACACCGCTTTTAGGGTGCAGGCAGGTGTCAGCTGTAGGGAATGAGCATTTGTGGTGCCACCACAACACTGTCTGGGCACCCAGTTGCAGAGGTGAGAGCTAGGGGGGCACTGGCTGGGCCATGGGGAGTGCAGGCTGCTCAGCTGGCTTGGGCATTTTCAGCAGAGGAGGGAGGCAGGAGGAGGGGAGTGGGGAAGGGATGGGCTGCGGAGGTTGGGGAGGTGGATTCTGTGCGCACCCTTCACCCAGAGGGCGGGATCTTCATGGCAGTACGCTCCTTGCAAACAGGACCCGCAGCTCCTTGGAGCAGCTCTGGCAGGCTCTGACTTTCCCGGGCCCCGTGGAGCTAAGTGCCCAGTGGGAGGTGAGTGGGGCCGTCGGCCAGGCCAAGGGACGGTAGCGGGGAGCAGAGAATTGAGGCTCGATCAGATGAAGACCGAGTACTCATGCTTGTGACCAACTGCACACACTGCTGTAGCTCACTCGGCTCTGCTCTCTGCATGTGTGTGTGCACGGCAGGCTCCCGTGGCTGCCCACGCCCGCACACTCCTCTGCTGGGTGCTCCCGGGCCCTGTTGCCGCACTTGCACTGAGGGGCATGCAGCTGGCCTGGGGGCTGCTGGGAGGGGCTGAAGGGAAGCTAGGAGGCTTGGGGCTGGCAGATCACTGCCACTGTGTGTGCGGCATGCTTGGGCTCCTGGTCTGTAGGGGGAACCCGCCTGC